TGATTAGGGTTCAGTCATATCACTTATACCGATATCAATTCTAAAAAAGAGCCAATATAAAAAAGACGACTTCAATACCGAAAACACCATAAACATATCGTTTGATCTCAACCTACGACGCAAGTTCAACTGGTCGTTCATAATCGCCAACGTTCAATCAGCGATAATTGGTGCGATTTCCTCACAAATAACGGCTTATTAATCGATCTCAAAAGGAAACGCCTCATCGATCCCGCCACTTCGCGGTTAACAAAAGGAAAGTTAACTGAAGTAAAACTCTACAACAATCAACGCAATCAACGCGCAGAACTACTGCAGCACAGCCCGGCCGTATGTGGACATACTTTCACGTTACATCGAAATCACTCGACCAAGCACGTCTCCTGCAACACACGTCAATAAAGACGTAGCGCATTACATCGAGACTCAGGGCCCCCCAGTTTTCGACAAGCCGAGACGTCTTACTGGACGCCGCACGCTGTGATTTAGATTTACTGCAATGTGGGGTTATTCGACCTTCAAGTAGTGAATGGGCCAGTCCAACCCACCTGGTTCCTAAGAAACACAAGGGTTGGCGTACCACAGGTGACTATCGAAAACTAAACTCTCGCACCATTCCAGATAGGTATCCTGTTCTACACTGTGAAGATATCCTCCAGCGACTACATGGCGGCAAAGTTTTCTCTACCATAGACTTGATACGCGCATACCACCAAATTCCAGTTGCGTCGAAAAACATTCCGAAAACAGCTGTCACGACTCCTTTTGGACTGTTTGAGTTTATTGGCGTGCCGCCAGCCTGCGAAATGCAGCTCAAACCTTTTAACGTCACAGTGACAGCTTATTCCGCGTACTCTCTTTTGTCGGCTGTTACATTAACGATATAATCTTCTACTCCGGTTCCCACGAGGAGCATCTGCAACATCTTTCAACAACGTTTGAAATTCTACGCAAAAGTCGTCTAAGCATCAACCCACAATTTGGTAAAATTGGTTAATTTACTACTCAAGGTTTTAAGCCCCCTGCTGAGCGCTCCCAGTCAATCAGTGATTATCGCCCAAATCAATTATGGAGTTGCGAAGGTTTCTCGGAATGGTCAACTACTATCGACGGCTAATTACCCCATGCAGCCTAAACACAAACTCCGCTTACTAAGTATCTTAAAGGCGCAACAAAGAACGACAAGCGTGAAATAGCCTGGACGACTGAGGCAAACAAAGCCTTCGAAAGTTGTGAACAAGGAATATACAGTGCAGTGCGAGCAACATTCCTCGCACCGTCAACTCAATTATCCTTAAAAACAGATGCATCGGATACTGCAATTGGCGCCGCTCTCGAGCAACTGGATGGTGATCTCTGGCATGCTGTCAGTTTCATCTCGCGTAAGCTAAGCCCTGCGGAAAAGAAGTACATCGTGAACTACTAGCCATCTTCGCGGCCATAATATTTTTCAAGCACATTCTTGAGGGTCGGCCTTTTATCATCCAGACTGATCATAAACCACTAGTTTATGCGTTTGCACAAAAGGCCACCAAAGCATCGTCACGACAGCTTCGCCAGCTTGACTTCATTTCGAAGTTCTCGACAGAAATCGTTCACACGTCAGGAACAGACAATGCCGTTGCCGATGCACTCTCACGCATTAACGCGATTAACATGCCAAGCAGTTTTGATGCGCAGACTATCTATGACGCCCAGCAAACTGATGGAGAAATTTCTCAGGTAGCATCAAGCACATCTCTCTGTCTTCAAACACTCCGTATTGAGCAGTTCGACATCTCGTGCGATACGTCAATTGGACGCACTAGACCATACCTACCAGCCAACATTTGACGATGAGCTTTTGACGCAGTGCACGGATTGGCGCATCCTAGTGGTCGCACAATTGCAAAAATGCTTAAACAGCGAATGGTCTAGCCAGGTTCAAATCGGGAATGCCCTCGCTTGGTCAAGACAAAGTGCCAACGCGCAAAAATTCAACGACATACACGCAGCGCTATTGACAAAATTGAAGTTCCAAATAACTAAATAATAAATAAACTTAGCGAAAATTGTGTGTCGTCAAGTGGTTAGGTCTGTGTGTTAGCGAAAATGTGAAGGCAATAAACCGCCATTAAAAATACAATTCGTACCAGTAAAACAAAATGCAACTACATTTTTGTAACTTCTGAATTCAATTGCTATTTTTTTGTAGGGGAAAACAACAGGACGTAATTTTCATCCAATTTATGGAAGCACACCCCGACATAGCTCAAAATTCCAAATGTTATAAGAACTTTCACAAATAAATTTAATTTTTAATAAGCAATATAAGTGTGTTGTATTTTTTCATATATATTTTACTAGCGTCCTGCTCCTGCTTCGCACGGGTATTTTTACAAAAATTTTAAAAAATATACCTTTTATAACACACACACACTTAACACACATACACCCTTCTTTTTGCTATGAGTTACTAAGAAGGAGTGAAGTTTATTTTGGATATTATTAATTTAATGATTTTTTGTTCGTTTTTAGATTTTTATAGCCTGTACCCAAAGGGTGAAAGGCTATACTAGTTTTGTGCGCATGTATGTAACACACAGAAGGAGGAGTGGCAGACCCCACAAAGTATATATATTCTTGATCAGGATGAGAAGCCGAGTGGATATAGCCTTGTCCGTCAGTCCGTCTGTCCGTATGAACGCAAGGATCTCAGAAAGTATAAGAGCTAGAATAACCAAACTTGGTTTCCATATTCTCCTAAGACCGAGAAAGTACGAATTTGAGTTTTTTTCGATGCACCCCCCCCTCACTCCCCCGCAATTCGTGTTTTTTTCTTATAACTTCCGTAATTCTCGGAATTTTGAAATCATCCAGTTAGTACTAATGTGTCCGTGTGCCAAATTTCATCATGATAGGCCAATTGTGAAGAACGTTATAGCCATAAGTAAAATCGCTGCCCATGCTTTGCCTGCAGCTCTTCCCGCAGTGCTGCCCACAGCTGTTGTTGTTGTTGCTGCTTTGGTTCAACTTTGTGCTGCATACATACACGCATATAAACACGCATAGGTACGTGATGTAAATGTATGCTGTTAAAACTGAACATAAATATGTATTCTAATTTAATTAAATTAATTAATTAATTCATTAATTTTTTTTGTGGAGAGTACAGGCTATTTTACTGTCGGGCTTGCTCGACTGTAGCGTTCTATCTTGTTTGTTATTTTTTATTAGGTCAGAGGTTCTCTGTAAAAGATATTTGATGTTGATGCTAATTCAAAGGCTTGGCCTTGGGACTACCGGAAATTGAAGCCATATAAATGATCAAATGGGATCATCGGTATGCTTGTATCCTCGTTATATGAGCTAGTTGACAAGTTGCTGGGCCGTTGATAATAGTTGCTACACTTAAATTGTCCTGCAATTCCTTAATAAGCAGTCTCGTCCCATTGCACATGCTTGGTAGAATTTAATTTCTCAGAGCATGATTGCAATTCCGAATTTTACGGACAAGTCATGTGGCGGCAGTCCAGAAGGGTTTAGTGAATTTAAATATTAATCACGGTGGCGATCGATTTGTAATTTTTTATTTGGCTGGTGGCTTTTGAATAATATTGCCTTAATATTTAACAGCATGCTATTCAGGTGTTTTTTAACGTAATTTTTTTTCACCTTTGGTTACGTTATTGGGGTTTTAGTAAGGATTCCATTCTTTTTTGCAGATATAATATAGCCCATGTTAACCGTCGATAGTTGGTTCAACTTTGTGATGCATACATACACGCATATACACACGCAGAGACACGATTCTGATGAAAAAATATGCTGTTGAAACTGTGCGTGAACATGTCTCCACTTGTGTATATATGTATTGAATAATTAGTACTTAATTGAATTAAAATAATTTGTACTAATAAATTTTATGGTTAGTGCCCAAGGCGAAGGGAAAACATCATTAATGGTGACAATCGATGTGTCTATATAAATTCTACATATATATTCGATGCCTCGAAAAACAACATCGATAAATCGATGTTTTGAAAAATTAACAACTCATAGAATAATAACATATTCATGGATGCCACAGAAATCTCTTCCCCTAAGGACATTTTTCCCAATAAAAATAATCATTGGAATATAAACCTTATAGTTTTTCTAAGCATATTCTACGTAAATATTATTAAATTAGCTAATTATTAAATTTATACTTAAAACACCAGCATTCACACAAAGCATCCAAAGCAACCGCACAATAGAGATGCCCCCTTGCTCAAAAAGAAAATTAAATTTATCGAACATCACATTTTGCTGAATTCAGTCTTTTTTTTTTGATTTCAACGAAAGTTAAAAATAAAATTTCTTGTTTTTTGTAATTTCTCAAGTAAATCGGAACTTCTAGTTTTGGCAAAACATAGATCGCCACAACAGGACGTAAATTTCGGAAAATTCCAAATGATATAAATATTGTAAAATAATTTAATTTTTACTAAGCAACATTCTTTTGTGGGATCAGATGCGCTTTTTAACATTTGTGTTGTATTTTTGTAACAATTAATTGGCGTTTCCGCAAATTCTCGCGGGCTAATTTTAATGCAAATGGAATATATGTATTTATTTAACATAGTACGCTACAGAATTTAAACACAATTAGTCAGTCAAATGTACTCGTCGACAGTCAGCTTTTGCTGACAGCTTAAGTGTGACATTACATATATACAAATGAAAATGTTGATAAAATACTTAAAAATGTAACATATTCCCAGCAGTAGGCCTATACTAGCTAAACCATTGCAAGACTACCCCTAATTGCACCACCACTACATCCGACTTCATGTTATTCTCCATGAACGCATGATGTCATACGAAGTCAATGGTCTCTAGCCGAACTGGGTATATAAGCACATTCACATTTTAATGAAAACATCAAAAAATGTAAAATACAAATATACCTTCTCCGGTAAACTGCACAAAGAAACGTGACCGCCCAACAGAACATGAAAAATGTTCGATGTTTGAACATATGGGTGATGGCTCGACGGTGCATCGGAAGCAAAAAACATCGATAAGCATCGATACATCGTGTTAAAAACATCGTCGATGCTCGATACATCCATTCTTCTTACATTCCTAGATCCTACTTAAATTCTCATGTATCTCCCGTCTCTACTTGAATGATTTTAATCGCCGCATTTTGTGAAAATAATGGAAAAGTTATAATTTGTTTATGTTTCCAAGGACATCCGCACGAATATGTTCTCAATATGCAAGCAAATACACTCCGCAACAGCGGTGGAGTTCTGTGTATCATGTCGATTTTTCAACAACAGCGAAGAAAATCTGGTCGTGGCTGGCGTCAATGTCTTAAAAGTCTACCGAATTTCACCCAGCATAGACGCCGCCCAACGTCAGAAGCAGAACCTCAACGATATGCGAGTAGCTCCAAAAATGCGTCTGGAGTGCCTTGCCACGTACACTCTCTATGGTAATGTAATGTCTTTGCAATGTGTCTCTTTAGCAGGTGCTATGCGAGATGCACTGCTTATTAGCTTCAAAGACGCCAAGCTATCGGTTCTTCAGCATGATCCTGATACATTTGCATTAAAAACACTTTCGTTGCACTATTTTGAAGAGGAGGATATTCGCGGTGGTTGGACTGGCCGTTATCATGTGCCTGTTGTTCGCGTCGATCCAGATGCACGGTGTGCCGTCATGCTGGTCTACGGCAAGCGTCTTGTGGTGCTACCCTTTCGAAAAGATAATAGTTTAGACGAAATCGAACTTGATGACGTCAAGCCAATAAAGAAAGCGCCAACCGCTTTAGTCACGCGCACTCCTATCATGGCGTCATACCTTATAGCACTTCGTGATCTAGACGAAAAAATCGATAACGTGTTGGACATACAGTTTTTGCACGGTTACTACGAGCCTACGCTGCTTATACTTTACGAGCCCGTGCGTACCTTTGCTGGCCGCATCAAAGTGCGATCTGATACTTGTGTACTAGTAGCTATTTCCCTAAACATACAACAACGCGTGCATCCCATAATTTGGACTGTAAATAGCCTTCCATTTGACAGTCTATTTGTGTTACCCATACAAAAACCCATTGGAGGTTGTCTGGTCCTCACAGTAAATGCAGTGATTTACCTAAACCAAAGCGTTCCACCTTATGGTGTTAGCCTTAACAGCTCCGCTGAGAATAGCACAAGCTTTCCGCTGAAGCCACAGGATGGAGTGCGCATCAGCTTGGATTGTGCCAACTTCGCGTTCATCGATGTTGATAAGCTGGTAGTATCCTTGCGCACTGGCGACCTCTACGTTATGACGATATGCGTGGACTCAATGCGAATGGTACGCAATTTTTATTTTCACAAGGCAGCCTCAAGTGTTTTGACCAGCTGTATTTGCGTCTGTCAGACGGAGTACATTTTTTTGGGGTCACGTCTCGGAAATTCACTACTACTCCACTTTGCGGAGGAGGATCAGAGTACAGTCATTACATTGGACGATGCAGAGGTTGAAGATTGTAATGTCCAGAATTTCTGTGAAACTGATTTACTAGATGTGACGCCACAGACCAAGGCCAGGCGTATTGAGGATGAGGAGCTCGAGGTGTACGGTTTGGGAGCTAAAACCTCAGTCCTCCAACTACGCAAGTTTGTGTTTGAAGTTTGCGACAGCTTGCTCAACGTAGCGCCTATTAATTTTATGTGTGCCGGTGAGCGCGTTGAGTTTGAGGATGATGGCACAACTTTGCGTCCACAGGCCGAAACATTGAATGATCTGAAAATTGAGCTAGTGGGTGCCACCGGACATGGAAAAAATGGTGCCTTATGTGTGCTTGTTAATACCATTCATCCGCAGATAATAACAAGCTTTGAACTGGAAGGGTGTTTTGATGTATGGACAGTGTTCGATGACTCCACCAAGAAGACTGCGCGCCAGGATCATCATGATTTTTTGCTGCTATCTCAAGGTTCTTCTACTTTAATATTGCAAACTGGTAACGAGATTAACGAAATTGAAAACACTGGGTTTACCGTAAACCAGCCCACAATATTTGTCGGAAATATTGGCCAAAGTCGATTTATAGTGCAGGTTAGTCCCCATTTTTATATTGTTGGGTACTTTGATTTTATATCTTCATTTTTGTTCAGGTAACTTCTCGGCAGGTGCGCCTGTTGCAAGGCACTCGACTACTCCAGAATGTACCTGTCGATGTAGGCTCACCAGTAGTGCAAGTGTCGATTGCTGATCCCTATGTATGTCTGCGTATACGTAATGGTCAGGTCATAACTCTAGCGTTGCGGGAAACTCGAAGCTTGCCTCGTTTAGCTATTAATAAGCACACCATCAGCAGCACGCCCGCCGTGGTGACACTATCCGCCTACAAAGATTTGTCAGGCTTGTTTACGTCCAAGTCAGATGATGTGCTAAATCTTTCAAACAACGTAGGTGGTTGTTTTGGCAATAATTTTGGCGGCTGCATGAAAACAGAGCCAAACATGAAAGTCGAGGATGAAGAAGATTTGCTCTATGGCGATGCTGGGAATGCCTTTAAGATAAACAGCATGGCAGATTTGGCCAAGCAGTCTAAGCAGAAAAATTCCGACTGGTGGCGGCGATTGCTTTTGCATGCCAAGCCTACTTATTGGCTCATCGTCACACGCATAAACGGAACTCTAGAGATCTATTCAATGCCCGATATGAAGCTTGTCTATCTGGTTAATGATATTGGCAACGGTGCAACAGTGCTGACTGATGCTATGGAATTTGTACCTGTTACACTCACTCACGAAAACTCTAAGCAAGGAATTCTACATGCTTGCATGCCACAGCACGCAAGTTCCCCGGTGCCTCTTGAAATCAGTATGGTGGGGTTGGGATCACATGGACAACGGCCTTTACTATTGGTGCTCACTCAGCTGGAATTGCTCATATATCAGGTTTTTCGATATCCAAACGGTCATCTAAAGTTGCGATTCCGAAAGCTCGAACAACTTAATCTTATTGACCAGTCTAGCCACATAGAAATAGATGATAACGAAGACATAGAGTCGTATAACATGCAACTAAAATACGTGCAGAAATTACGCTATTTTTCCAATGTGGGTGGCATCGCCGGTATCATGTTATGTGGAATACACCCCTGCTTTATCTTCCTAACTGGTAGAGGCGAGCTCCGGATCCATAAATTTCAGGGAAACGGCGGTGTTCGTAGCTTTGCAGCTTTCAATAATGTGAACATACCAAATGGCTTTTTATATTTCGACAACAGCTACGAACTGAAGATAGCTGTGCTTCCTACGTATCTAAGCTATGACTCCACCTGGCCTTTGCGGAAAGTACCAATACGCTGTACTCCACGGCAAATTGTCTATCATCGTGAAAATCGCGTATACTGTCTGGTCACGCAAACGGACGAGCTTATGACAAAGTATTACCGCTTTAATGGTGAAGATAAGGAACTGTCAGAGGAAAGCAGGGGTGAACGTTTTATCTATCCAGTAGGCTCAAAATTCGAAATGGTACTTATTAGTCCAGAAACATGGGAAATTGTACCGGATGCATCCATAAAGTTTGAGCCGTGGGAGCATGTGACCGCATTCAAAATAGTAAAACTATCATATGAGGGAACACGCTCCGGCCTGAAGGAGTATCTTTGCATAGGTACGAATTTCAATTACAGCGAGGACATCACCTCACGTGGAAATATACATATTTATGACATAATAGAAGTAGTGCCGGAGCCGGGAAAGCCTATGACAAAGTATAAACTGAAAGAGGTTTTCAAAAAAGAGCAGAAGGGCCCAGTTTCTGCAATTTCCGATGTACTCGGCTTTTTAGTTACGGGTCTGGGTCAAAAGATCTACATTTGGCAACTTCGAGACGGAGGTGACCTTAATGGTGTTGCCTTTTGTGACACAAATATATATGTTCACAATATTATAACGGTGAAGTCGTTGATATTTATTGCCGACGTATACAAGTCTGTTAGTTTGCTGCGGTTTCAGGAAGAATATCGAACGTTGTCACTCGCCTCACGCGATTTCAATCCGCTGGAAGTTTTTGGTATCGAGTTTTTGGTAGATAACACTAACCTTGGCTTTTTGGTTACTGACGCCGAGCGAAATCTTATTGTATACATGTACCAACCAGAAGCCCGAGAATCTCTGGGCGGCCAAAAATTATTGCGAAAGGCGGACTACCATCTGGGTCAGGTGGTAAATACTATGTTCCGTGTGCAGTGTCATCAGCGTGGTGTGCATCAACGACAGCCGTTTCTTTATGAGCATAAGCACTTCGTTGTGTATGGAACGTTGGACGGAGCGCTCGGATTCTGCCTGCCGCTGCCGGAAAAAGTTTATCGTCGTTTCCTCATGTTACAAAATGTGCTGTTGTCGTACCAAGACCATTTGTGTGGTCTTAATCCAAAAGAATATCGTACTTTAAAATCACTCAAAAAATTATCAATGAATCCTTCACGCTGCATTATAGACGGTGATCTGATTTGGTCGTACCGCTTGCTAGCACATTCGGAACGTAATGAGATAGCCAAGAAGATAGGTACGCGTACGGAAGATATTTTAAGTGATTTACTTGAAATTGAAAGATTGTCCAGCATGTTTTAAAATAAAAATATAGGCCATAATTTATACAATAAAATATTATTTTAAGAATTTCATTTAGGCATTTGTAAATAAAACAAAACTGTTTTACGCGGATCCACAATTTTCTCAAATTTGTTTATGTTTCTTTCAGTTTTTTAATAAGTACCTAGTACGATGAACATAAGTACATAGGTGCGCGAAATAAGAAAGTAGGACAAACGCATTTATTGTTGCATCTGCACAATACATTTTTTGCATTTCGTCTTCCCACCAAAATATGTTTACTCTTTGCTCTCAAATTGACATATGTATAAAATATTTGATAAAAATCGTTACGTTGTCCGGTTATTCCTATTAATAGCCGGACGACCTCACTCTTGCGTGCGAAATAAGTAACTAGGACAGTTTAGACTTTTTTGTCATGCAGCTCTTGTAATACGTATGTACATACATATGTACGCTTCCAGATTTTTGAATTCAATTTATCTTTAAATGATAAAACAAATCAAAAGTGAGTTTTTATTGAAACTACTGTTTTTCAGAGCAATAATACTAATACAAACATTTTTGTTGTAAGGAAATGTCGGTTTTTACCCGTTTAAGGGCAGAAATAAATGTACTGTGGAAAATTTTCTGAGAGATCCACTAAACTATGGTAAAAAGCCACGTTCTGGTCGCCACCACTAATAAATGCACGTGATATTCGAAGAATTAAATCCCTGGCGGTCAACAAACATTAGTGCCTCACAGATTCTTCATGAATTGTCTCTTCCAGTGTCCACTAGACGAGTACAACCAATTTTACAGCCCTGTGAAAACATTTCATATGAAAAACAAGAAAGGAATGCTAAAGTCGAGCAGGCTCAACTCTTAAATACTCTGTACCTCCCACCAAAAGGGAAGAAATAAAAGAAAACATTTAAATAAATTATTTAATTAATTAAATACAAATTATTCAATACATATGTATATACAAAATTGTAGACAGGTTCATGTACAGTTTCAACAGCATACATTTACATCAGAATCGTGTCTCCGCGTGTTTATATGCGTGTATGTATGCAGCAACAACAACAACAGCTGTGGGCAGAGCATGGGGAGCGATTTTATTTATGGCTATAACTTTCTTCAGAGTTGACCAATCATGATGAAACTTAACATACGGACACATAACTGGATGTAATTACCAAATTTGAAATTCCAAGAATTACGGGAGTTATGGGAGAATCTGGATACCAAGTTTGGTTATTCTAGCTCTTATACTTTCCATGCGTTCGTACAGACAGACGGACATGGCTATATCGACTCGTTCTGTCATCCTGATCAACAATATACAGTGAAAACTCTCTTGGCTGGGCACTCACGGTCGGCCAAGGGGAGTGTCCAATTAAGGGGATACTTTATACACCGATCCAATGTTTTAGAAAAAGTGTCCGGATAAAAGAGGTGTCCATTAGGATAGTTTTCAATGTATATACTTTATGGGGTCCGCCCCGCCTCATTCTGTGCGTTACATACATTCGCACAAAACTAGTATACCCTTTAACCCTTTGGGTACAGGGTATACAAACTCCTTAATCCAGAACTACTTGCTGGACATAAAGCAGCTCGCGTGCAATTTGAGGACTCGTACAAATTTTGCGACCTAGAATCAGTGCTGCCATAATTTTCTGAGCTAAAGTAGTAGTAGTAGCTAGATTGTCAAAAAATTAAAGCTAAATCCAAGGCAAATTAAGCTTTAAAAAAAGATGGTTTTAAAAACAATTTTTTCTTGATTAAATTTAAGGATGAATCTGTTTTAATGTTTTCATATTAATTCTATACATATTCTTATTTTATAGCTTATAATAAAACATGAGATTCTTGTAATGTAAAAAAATTATAGAAGATTCACAATAAATTAAAATTGAAAATGTTCAATTCTATAATTCTATCTATAATTCTCTTCTATAACTCGATCAGTTCATCTAAGCTCACTGCCTCTTCGTCAGGGTAATAAATTCGGTTGCCTACTGGTCGCAACCATTTTTGAGGCAATGAATACTCAAAACAGCATTTGTTTTTATGATTTAGTCCCTATCTTTAATTGAAAATAAATTAATATATTTATGACAATATTTTATTTTGTTTATAAAAACCCTTACCTTACGCTTAAAATGGAGTTAAGCGTATTTAAATTCATTTCATTCCTTAATTTTGATTTTACCAAGTTTACCTGGTAAATCAAACTAAATTTAGCGTTTCCAACGTCGTTTCTGAGGTCCTCACGAAAATGAGGATCCAATACATTTTTAATAATGTATGTACATTTAGTGCGATAAAGCTTCATTCTAGACGCGGCATCGCTGTCGCAAAATTTTGTTTTGGAAAGGATGCCTAGATGGTCGATGGGAGCAATTGCAGTGTGCTTTGTTACAAAGAGGCAAAGTGCTACCTCTGGCTCAATTAACAATTAACTAAAAATGTTGGCATTGACTCACTGATAAAGGATATATATAAATTTTGTCCTTAATCATTATGAAACGGACAAAATTTCAGTTTGAGTTTTATTTTTGATCAAAAAAACAAAACTCAAAAAATAATCATTATTCTAGCTTCTGTGGACAATTTTGTTTATACAAACGAACAGACAGACGGACGAACGGACAGACAGACATGGCTATATCGACTCGTCTTGTCATGCTGATGAAGAATATATGCTTTGTGGGGTCAGCCACGCCTCCTTCTGCCTGTTACATACATCCGCATTTGTGATTTAAAAAATAATTAATTAATAAATTAATTATTTAGTTAATTAAAAATGTTCCCCTTGATTCACTGATTAAGGATATATAAGTTAAGGTTGCCCATGTTGTATTACATGGGTCACCTTGTAATGATTAGTAGTATCCTGTGCATGTCGCAAGTATCCGTTTTATTCGATAAAATATAACAAATTCCGTTCGCTACGGTATCCAACCTAAGACTAAAAATCCAACGTCGTCCAGAGCGGCAGTGAACCGCGGTCGGCGGTCGGATGGCCCAGTTCCTCGGGCCCGTTGCGCAGCGTCAGATTTCCTGTGTGCTGCGTAGGCGTTTAGCCGGAGCCAGCGCTGATGTCGCTGGCCCGGCCACAATGTAGCACAATGTCCGCAGCACTCGTGTTATGTTAACGCTGCAGAATTGTGTAGACCGGAGCCAGCGCTGGCATAGCCAGCCTGGCTGCGTAGTTGCTCAACATTCCACATTATGTTGACGCTGCAGCTCGACGGCTGAACGCTCGCCGCTGATGGTCATGGAAGGCGTGTGGAAGGGGCCACAGTGGCGGGCGTGGAAGGGTGCAGCAACGTTGGTTGTTATGTTGCTGGGTGTTAACTTATATAAATTTTGTCCTTAAACCTTATGAAACAGACAAAATTTCAGCTTTCCGTAATATCTTTGCGGAGCAAACGTATGGACATTTCAGCAGGACAATGAGAGAATCCATACTGCAAAACGCACACAAACTTTCTTTGCGGATCACAGAATTACAGTTTTGAAGTGGCCAGGTCGAATTATTTACCTGAACCCAATTGAAAACCTTTGGGGCATTTTATCTCAGCGAGTTTACCTAAATAGAAATCAAATTAATTGTCTAAAAGACTTAAAAAAATCCATTATACACGAATATTGGCCGTGTTAAATAAAAAAGGAGAGTCAATTTAAACTCTACATATTAAATTAAGACGTTCTCTTAGAAATAACAAGAGAGAACGCTACAGTCGAGCAAGCCCGACAGTGTAATACCCTGTACCCAGGTAAACTTCCGTCACTGAGTTATATGAGCAAAAAGAGGAAGAGCGAACTTGTTGCTGCAGTTTGGTGAGGTTGTACTGGCCAGAATTTGTTTCGCTAATAACTTTTCTTAGAATTGACCGAATTATATAATTATAATAAATAATATATTTTAAACAACAGTAGATAAATATGTATAAATTATGTGTGCAAAGTTTGGTTTAGGTAACATTTGAAATGAGGACGCCATCGACAGACGGACAGACGGACGGACATGTCTAGATCGATTTCTTTCGTCATGCTGATTCAGAATATATATACTTTATGGGGTCCGAGATGCTTCCTTCTGCATGAACATACTTTGCACAAACCTAATATACCCTTTTTACCCTACGGGTATAGGGTATAAAAATCAAGAAGTACGATTTTTTAATTTGTCCTACTTATTTCGCATGGATATATTTTATTTTTTTATCTATTACTTTTATTTGTATGGCCTCGCCAAAGATTCATATGAATTGTTACCTATTTAAGTTTAAAAACAAATTTACTTTGTTGAAATATAATGTATAGTTGAGTTGTTACTTAAAAAAATGTGTTGTCCTACTTACTTATTTCGCGCACCTTATAATAAATACTTATTAATGAACATTCTTAGAGTAGACTATGGGATACCTCATGGCATCATTCGGAATGCATTGATATTTCTCGCGGAGATTTTAAGCAAACATTGCCTGTAATTTCTCGATCGAAACCACCGGACGAAATAAATGCTTAACTGAAATATTTAACATTTGTGGCGACACGTACATACATTGCAGTTGATTAAGAATATGCATGTCCAGCAAGAGTTACTGGACATTGCGAACACACAGAAGTTTATATACATACTAGCAGGTATTGCCCGTCTTAACCCGGCTCAATATAATGTTTCCAATTGTATTTATTTTGTGTGTGCATAACCTACCCATATGTTTTCACCTTATAAGTTACCAGTAGGAAGGCATTTCAGGTATTTAAATTAACATTTTCTGTTCTTGACAATAATTGTTCAGAAGTTCGTTTTTGTTCTTGCCAAACTATTTCGTTAAACGAACATGACCACTATAACTAATATTTTTTAAAGCTCGTTTTACCCCCTTTGGAGCTACAATTTTTCAAAAGCCTTTCTTAGCGTGCTCCTACACTATGATGGATACTATGAAAGGATACTTGAGTCCAAATTTCATCTTTTACCGTTTGGGCTGTGCGTTGATCACCAATTATTCAGGACAAACTGTTTTATATATAGAGACACGCGACGTTTTAAGATAGACTATGTGCAAAAAAGGGGAATAATTTTAAGGGTATATCCTAATTTT